ACGGCTCCCCCGGCCTTTCCGGGGAGCCTCCACAGCGCTCCAGGAGGGCCCAAGACGCCCCCCAGGAGCCCTCAGAATGCGAAAGGATGGCCCAAGACGCTCCCAAGCAGCCCAAGGCAGCCTTCCGACTGCTCTCGAGGCTGCCAGATGGCTTCCACCAGACCCCAAGAGAGGTCCGAGAGGCGTCCCAGGACGGCCCGAAGAGGCCTAAATCGTCGATTTTGATTGTTTTTTGTCCATGCCTTCTCGCGTATTCGAGCTTCCAACGATCCAAGACCGCCCCAAGACCGCCCAAAAGATTCCCAGGACGGGTCCAAGACGGGCCAAGAAACCCCCAAAATTGACGGAGAGGCGCCCGGTACCGCGCCCCCCCTTTTTTCAAAGTGGATTCCCACTCGGAGATCCCACACATCCCCTGACATTTGGCTGGTATCGCGCCTCCCAGCTTCCCGGGGGGCCCCCAAGACGCCCAAGGACAGCCCAAGACGACCCCAAGGAGCCCCCAGAACGTAAAGAACGGCCCAACACGCTCCCGCGCAGCCCGAGACACCCTTCCGACGGCTCTCCAGGCCTCCAGGAGGCTTCCAGAACCCCCCGGGGGTCTGGAAGATTCCACACCCCTGAGGGGCCCGGCTGAGAAAACCCGCGAGGCACAAACAAAAACCAGCGCCGAACAGCGCCGAGGAATTGGAAAAAAATGGAAATCCAATTTTCCCGTTTTTGTTCCAAGTCTGGCCCCCAGTCTCTTCTTGCACAACGGACCACAATTCAGACCCCCCTCACATCCCAAAAAGAACCCAGGAAGGCTTTGAGGGCCCCAAACCGTTGAACATCTCAAGGGGATTTATAATTTCTGCGTTTCCGCACTTCCCCTTCTATCCGATTCTGAGGCTGGCGCGGGGCCTCCGCGGAAATCCCTGGGCGCAAGAAGCGACCAAAATGGTATTACATGCGTTAGCCGATCAAAGCCTAGCCACAACTAGAGAGCGCGCGAGGCGCGCGCGATGGCTCTACTTCATATAAGGTGCGAAAAACAGGGTCCGCTTTCATCAGCTGGCGCATGGGGCACTCAGGTTTGAAAGAAGTACCCCCAGCCAGGAAGGCCCCCCAGGGCTCGCTGCTGCAGCGTGCCCCAACCTTCGGTCTTCTTGGACAGAAGGGAGAGGAGGGGAGGCAAAAAGGGGGGCCCCGACAAATGACCGAAGGATGGGCGACGCACAGAGGCTTGCTTCCATGCCCATGCGCAGGCATCGCGGGTCACTACGGATACCAGGTCAAGCGGCGTAGTAGTCGCAATAAACAGATCCATCCCAAGAGAGTTCTGGCACTGGGTTGGGGTTACATCTGATCACCCAATCCTGAGTAAGGTGGCGACCAATATCTGACCTGGTCCGTGTAGGTTTGTCCACGGGGTGTCGCATGGAACGGTATCACGAGCTCGAGAGAGAGAGAGAGAGCTGCATCGATAATACCTTCGGGTAGTACACGGTTCCAACGAGAGTCAGCCCACATACGTTTTACGTCTGTTTGAGCATTCAAAGTTGGGTCAGTAACACCTTGTAGAGCGAGGTCCATAGTCATAGATCTGCGCCTACCTGTACCTAGCAATGCATGGTATATGGTCCTAAGCTGCTGGATCTGTTGAGAGCTCAAACCAACCAGCTCCTCTCTTAAGACACAATAGGCGACGGGCCTTGGCCATGGCTGCCTTTAGCTTGGCATTCCAAACTGGACGACTCCGACACCCCCTGCGCAGTTGAAAGTCAATGCCGAGGTTTTGACATGAGAACTTGACAGCGCCTGAAAGACGTGGGGTCTCAGCTGCAATATCCCTGGCCAACGGTGTGTCCGAGGCAAGGAGCACGATTTTCTTTTCGGCCAGGGGTAAACTGGCAGAGAAAGTGAGCTTGCTCATAAGCAGATGGGGCCTCCGTGGTTAACTTCAGGATGTGCCTCCCATGTCTGGTACCCAGGACCTGAACGTCCTCAGCCACCGGGCCCATATGAAGGCGCGGATCGACTGCCAAGACAGAACCTAACTCTGGAACCAGCATAATGCGCATGAGTGGATCTGCAAAGGAGCAGCCAGCAACACTCGTGATACCAGCAGAGATCCAAGTACCGACGATTCGGCGCAAGCATACAAACCTAAATGATCTGTAGAGAAATTAGAGCACCCGCAACAATCCAGGTACGGCACGGCACGTTGATGAGAACCAAACTGCACGGCACGTTTGATTAGAAGTTTGTGCCTAGCCTGCTCATACGCTTTCTTCGTGTCCAGCAAGAATACTGACATGCCAAGTGTCACTGCGCACTCTGCCAGCATTCCCATTTGCCATACATTGTTTACTCGAGTGAGCGCGCACACCCTATATGTATGGACGTGGGCGCTGTCGTGCCCAGCTCACGCCGTACGCGTGACGAAAGAACCTAGTGAACGTACGCACTCATGTAGTGAAAAGTGCAACAGTGCGCTCACCACCATCAGGTTTCGGTAGCAAGCTCATCACGAATGCCGCCAAGATAGGACGAAATCTCCCCAACCGCAAGACAGTTCTCCATATCCCAAACATTGCGAGTAGAGTAAGATCAGAGAGTTGGGCATGGTGGTGGGGGTGCATCCCGTCCAATCCTACAGCCGGTCGTGCTCTGTACTTCCGACACATTTGCCTACATCGCACTAGAGACGGTTGCGGTAGGGATGCAATGTTTGTTGGTGCACAGGAGGCACAGACAAAGCATGGCAAGGATCAGCAGGGGTGCTTGTTAGAGATTCCCAGAGGCCTTGCCAAAACTCTTCACGTGCTTTCAAATGATGTTCCGGAGTACCGATGGGGACATCAGGGATCGGTGTAGATGTGGTCTGAAAAGCCGCCAAATCGACCGAACCCACCGGCCGCATTTTGGGGAGGGCACCTCCCCCGATCCATGGATTTGGCGACCGCGCGCTAAATCCATGGATCGTTAATGCATGTTTGCGCATCCCCGAATGGAGGCTCTAGCCGGGTCGTGGGCAATGCCGAGGTGGAATTCTCCGAAACATCCACGAGGTGCTCCCAGCACCTGCAGGAGGCGGGCAACGGCCGGAAGTCCTCGCCAAGTGTGGCAGCTGCAGGCGGTCCCCTTGTCTCATCCGATGTTCGGCCCGCAGATCCTGGCTCTGCAGATGCCGTCGTCAGCGGAACAGTGCGGCCGCCGCTTCTGGCTGCCGTGCTGCGGCAGCACGGCTTCCAAAAGCGGCAGCCGCACTGCTGCCCGCTCCAATCTCGGGTCGCTCGACAGAGGGGTACAGAGAAAGGAGGGGCACGAAGTCTGCCTTGCAGCTCATTTCGGCCGCGTCGCTGGGCGCCTCCCTAGATGCATTGGCGTCTCTGGCGCCGGGAGGCGCCAGAGAAGCCAGCTGCGTGAGCTGATTCGCAGCCCCCCCTCCTTCGCTATTCGTGTGGGGACGAAGAATGACGTAAACATAACAACTCGGAGGTCCGCGCGGATCGCTCGGATCCGCGCTGGACCCCCCTTGGCGGCGCCTCCGGCGCCGCTCTTGGCGCCTTCCGCGCCCCAGGAAGGGGGGTCCAGCGCGGGTCCGATAGATTCGCACGGACTTCGAGTTTTTAGGTCAATGTCGTTCTTCGTTCCCATAATTTCCCCCCGTTTTACGTCCGACCTGACAGTCCCTTCACTCGCGAGGGAGAGAATGTTCTACCACAAGTGTTTGCTGCAGTGCACGTCCTGCGCAGGGGGGGGACAGGCGGCCCTGTCGCAGCTTCTTCCAGCCAGTGGGCACCGCGGCCGCCGATATTTTTGCAGCCGCGCTGCCCACTATCTTCAACTCCCGAACGGGGGATTGGTTCAAGCTTGTAAAGGGAAGCTGGCAAGAGTGGCCAGGCCAAGGCGTCACATGGTTTCCAGCCCTCGTCGGGTTCCCTCTTCCTGTTCCTGCCCTGGCGACCCCATCTCAACCGTCTCGGGCTCGCTTCAGTCCTTGCAAGTGGTTCCAGCCCTGATCACTTCCACTCACGGAATTCCCAATCTACACGTCTTCCTGTCTCCTTGTGCTTATGCGATGCGGGTCACGGGGGGGAGAGATTTTACTACGCCCCCCTCGGCGCGGAGGGGGGGAGCCACACACCTTCCAGCGGCACGTGCACAAGACCCCAGCGCAGCTTCCGTCGCACCACCAGAGGTGTGCGCAGGCCAGTCTGGGTGTTACCCTGGACACTTCCATGCAATCTCTTAGACTACTCCATTGAAGCTAAAGATACTTTAGCAGGCATAAGGATAGAGAGCCAGTCGTTTTCAAAATGCCGCTCTCGCCGTAGCGCCTCGCACATTCAATTGTGAAGCTTCTAACAACTACATGCATGGAGGCCGGTTCGTTTCTAAACTGTAGCTCTCGCTGTAGCGCTGCGCACATATTGTTGCCAGCATCTACCAGGATGGAGGCCGCTGGTTTTCAAAATGCATATCTCGCCCTAGCGCCGCGCACATACGTTCTGACAGTTCCCAACACCTAGAGGGACAGATGCCGCCCCGTTTTCAACATGCGGCTCTGGCCTGAGAGTTCCTCGAGTTCTACGACCTGGAATTCCCAATGTGTGCAGCAGTTACATGGATGGACTGCGGCTCGTTTTCCAAATGAGGCTTCCGCCCGGGACCTCAGCAACACTTATAAGCACAATTCGACAATCACTTACACAGATGGGGGGCAGATGCTGTTCAACAGAAAAGTGGTGACCTTTGGTGTTTGAAATGTGTCGTCAAATTTGTTTACTTCGTTTCCAGCTGAAAGCTAGACGGATGGAGGGTGGATTTACTGCACAGCAGCGGAAATCTTGCAGCGATTTGCGAACATGGGATTCGGGCCAGGAGAGTTATCCCAAGGGGCCCAGAGGACACCTAACTGCAACCGTGACCCACAAGGTGCTCGAAAGGATATCTTTCTTGTCCCCCCCCCCCCTGACGAACGCCCGATCGCGTCGTGCCGCACCGCGCCTCAGCATGGAGAGAGTGTTCGACAAGATCTTCGCGGCAGCGGTGGAGTACAAGCTGGAGGTCATCGTGCTCGCGAGGCGTCCTTTCTGCTGCCTCTTCGCCTGCTTCCCCTCCCTCCGTCCTCCGTCATCCCCTTTCTTCTGTCCTCCGTCCGTCATCCAGTCTCCGTCCCCCCATTATTCGCGTCAATCACCTTCCCTTCTCCCTCCTCCTCCTCTTCCTCCTCCTCCTCCTCCTCCTCCTCCTCCTCCTCATCCTCCTCCCCCTTTGCTCCTCTTCCTCGTTCCTTTTTGCCTCCTTCGCGCTCCTCTTGCTTCCCCTTCCCTCCTCTTTGTCCTCTCCCTCCTTTTCCCTCCTCCCCTCCCTCCGCAATCACCCCATGTTTCCTCTCACTCCTCCCACCGCTTTCCTCCGAGCACCCCTCTGTGCTGGATGGACTCTGGTCCTCATGCTACTCCACCTCTTCCTCAATTCCGTATTTCTGTTCCTCCTCCCCCACATTCCTCCCCCTCCTCCTCCTCCTCCTCCTCCTTCTCCTCCTCCTCCTTATTCCCTTCCTCCTCCACCTATTCTTCCTCCTCCTCCTCCTCCTGCCCCTCCCCCTGCCCCTCCCCCTGCCCCTCCCCCTCCTCACCTCTCCTGCCATTCCCCGTCCGCAGTGCAGCCCCCCCCCCCACCCCCATCCAGTGCCTCCCCCCAGCGGCAGCGCCGGAGAATGCGCGGGCCCCGGCAGCGAGTGGCAGGGAGGTCGAGTCGGGGCGGCCGCCTGGCAGGGCCGAGGGGCCGCGGCGCCAGCCGGGGCAGGAGGCGAAGCGTGGCAGCCACGACTTCGCGCAGGCGCTCGGCGCCTGCGCGGAGTGGCCAGCGTTTCTCAAGAGGGGAAAAAACACACAGACACAATTAATCGGCGATTCCCAGAAAATATGGGAAATTATGGGAAGTGGGGGGAAAACAAAAACCCAGAAAACATGTGAAAATATGGGGGATATTTTTATTTGTGTGTATTTATTTGTGTGTCCCAGTTCCCCTTCAGTTTCGCCAGGCGCCAGCGTGCGCAGGCGCTCAGCGCCTTCGCGCAGGCGCTCAGCGCAACCGCTGCCAGTGGCAGCGGTTGCGGGCAGAGTCTGCGGCGCCATTTCTGTCCCGGCGCTGCCAAAAGCGCCCCTGGCCCGGGCTGCCCCCAGGAATTCTCGGGGGGCCCCCCACGGCCTCCAGGGCCCCCCTCTCACGAGGCCCAGGGGGCCCCAGGGGACCCAGAGCGGAGCGAACAGCTGGGGGCGCCTTGGGCCAAGGCAACCCCCCGATCTGTGCCAGCAGTGGACGCGCAGCTGCGAGGCTCGGCGGCGCAGCCGGAGGAGGCCAAGGAGGCGGAGGAGCAGGCGCCGGCCCCCGCCGAGGCCCCAGGCCGTGGGGGCCGGCGGAGGCGGCGCGCCCGCTGGAGCAGGCGAGCGGGTGCCCGCGAGCACAGGGGCTGCGCGCACGGCCGGGGCGCCGAGAGGAGGAGCCCCTTGGGGCTCGGGAGGGGCTCCAGAGGTCCTTGGGGCTCGGGAGGGGCTCTGAAGGTCCTTGGGGCTCGGGAGGCCCTTGGGGCTCGGGAGAGGAGGAGCCCCTTGGGGCTCGGGAGGGGCTCCAGAGGTCCTTGGGGCTCGGGAGGGGCTCGGGAGGTCGGGCCGTTGCTCGGATCCGAGGCTCGCCGTGGCCGGGAAGCGCGTTCGTCCCCGGTCCAGCCATCCCTAAAGGTAGCAGGATGGCTGCACGGCGGACACAAGGCGAAGGATCGGGCGAAGAGAACTATGCACATGCACCGATCCTGGCAAGGCCCATCCTTGACCCAGGATCGGTGCATATGCCTTCCTGGCCAAGGTAGGAGGGCGTATGCACCGATCCTGGGCTCAGGATGGGCCTGGCTAGAATCGTTGTAGGTGCATGGTTCTTTTTCCTCTAGAAGGAGAAACAGCTCCAGGAGGTCCACGAGGCAGCCGACAGGGCGGCGGGCGCGGCAAGCTTCCTCGAGGAGCTGCAGTGAGAGGGGCGAGGAAGCAGTGGCGCCGAAAGACGCATTGGAGCAGCTGCTGGAGGGGGACGTCCTCCGCTCCCATCTTCCTCCTTCCTCTGCCCTCCTCCCCCCCTTCCCCTCCTCGCCGCTCCCTCATTTCCGCCGTCTTCCCTCCCCCCCTCTGCGTCCTCCGTCCCATCTTCGTCTCCCTGCTGCTGCTCCTCGTCCTGTCCTCCTGCAGCTCCTCCAACTCCCCGTCCGCCTCTCTCCCTCCTCCTCTTCCTCCTCCTCCTCCGCCTCCTCCTCCTCCCCCTTCTCCTCCTCCTCCTCCTCCTCCTGCTCCTCCTCCCATGGGGCCCCAGCACAGCGCAAACATCGCGGGCAGCGCAGGTGGTGATGAGACGACATATCACATTTCTCCACGCTTATCCCCATCGTTCAGAAACCCGTTCGAAATCCCTTTCAAGAGTTGACGAGAAAATGGACGAAGGAGACAGATCGTCAGTGAAACCAAAGCGGACAACAGATAGATCTCTGGAAGCAAGGGGGTGAACCGTCTCTTTGGGCCCCCGTTGGACGCTTTGGGGGCGCTCTTGGGGCCGTCTTTGGGCCCACCTGCGGTTTTCTGTGGGCCCTTGTCGGGGCCCTGTAAGGCCTTTTGAGCCATCCTGGGATCTTCCTGAGGCATTATTGGAGTCCTCTTGCGGATTGCTTTGGGTCCTCTTGGGGCCCTCGTGTTTCTCTTTTGGAAGGCACTGGGAACCTGATTAGGTCTCTGTTCAGGCGTCTTTGCCTTGGGACTCTCTTGGGGCTCTCTGGGGCCCTCTTGGGGGGCCCTGTAAGGCCTCTTGGGGCCATCTCGCAGGTCGTCGATCATAGGAGCTGGGTCCTCGATTTCCCTTCCCCCCTGGGGCCATCAAGATCACCTCTTGGGGCCTCTGGCCTCTGGGGGCGCTCTGGGGCCGCTCTTTGGCGCTACCAGGGCCGTCTTGACGGCCTTTTCGGCCCCACTTGGGGTTCTTTTGGGCCATCTTGGGGCCATCTTGCGGCTTCAAAACTTGGTATCGCTCGGACGTGTGCATTTTTCGTTTGGCGAGGACCATCGAGGAGCATCCTTGATCATTTGGCGAAAAAGCCACGCACGAAACCAAACAAAAACACAGGGAATGGACGTTCGAGCGATGGCCAGAAAAGCGCATCGGAAGTGAAAGTGCTTAGGTGTTTGTGAAGGTTGGGTGGCGGTGCCGAGAGCACTTGGATCCGTCTTGTGGTCCGGTCGGGCCTCCTGGAGGTATGTCGGAAGCCATCTTGAACCATGTTCGGCAATTTTGAACCATTTTAGAGGCAATATTGTAGCATCGGAGGCCCTCTTGGAGCTATCTTGAGCCACCTTTGATGCTGTAGCCCCTCGGGCCCCCTCCGAAAGAAGCCTCAGGGAGAGGAGGGGAAGGCAACTCTCCACGAAGGGAGAAAGGTTTTGGAAGAGAGGAGAGAGAAAGAGAGAGAGAGAGAAAGAGAGAGAGAGAGAGAGAACTCGTTAGACCACCTAAGCCCAGAGGGCTGGTGGGATTCATACACAATACCACTGGGGGGCGAGTCCGAGTATTAGTTGGATGATGCTTGCGATCAGATGCTATGGGACACTTTGGGGCACGCCTTTCTCCAGCGCGTGCAGTGAACGGGCCCCGGCCCACCCGCGCTGGCCCAGAGGGGCCCGCTGGCCAGCCAGCCAGCGGGCTCGGCGCGCTCCGCTCCGCCTCCCCTGGTCCAGTACAGCTGGCGCGGCCCTGGCCGCCGCGCGGCGCGAGCCACAGGTTTGGCGCCGGGGCCTTCTCGGTGAACTACCCGGGCCACATCTACGAGGACGGCTTCCCGGGGCGTCGGAGGGACCCTCCCCTGACTCAGGGTCCGCCGTGCTTTTGGCGAATAGGGCGACAGTCCCTGCACTACTTGTCAAGCTCCTTCGGTGCCGAGTTATGCCCCACTCTGCCGTCGCTGTTGCCGCCGTGATTTTCGGAAACATCCTGCGGCGCGTAATTCCCGCCGTGCTTGTTCGCATCGTTCGGGGTGCATGCCCGACGCAGTTCGGTGTTGGGAAACTCAGCCAGAGTACGGCGGTTTGGGAGTCAGGGTCAGCTCCAGGCGTCGCAAGACAGTCGCGACGGCCGATGTCTCGTCGTTTCAGGTGCGACGAAGGGCAGCGAACGAAGGCGACCGCGGCACCAGTACGGGCAGCGAGTGGCATCGAAAGCGGGCCAAGGGCAGCGAGCGGCGAACGCAGTCATTAACCGGCTGGTCGGGCGGGCAGGCCCCGACGGGCGGGTCGAGCGGGCGGGTCGTTAAAGCGTAGGTCCTGCTTGAACCGCCAGGCAATATGTAGCGGGAGCGCGATTCCTGAGTGTCGAGGACCGGCATTTGAACACAGTGAAGAAATATCAAGCGAAGCGGTTCGGTGGTAAGTTGCGAGGAGGTCCCAAGCGAGAACGCGATTCTGCAAGAAGTATCAAGCGGGAGCCGCGATTCGGTGGTAAATTGCCAGGAAGTCCCAAGCGGAAGCGCGATTCTTCAATACATTTGAGGACGTACCAGGCGGGAGCCGTTGTTGTTGTGAACCCAGGGCCCACGACACAGTTTGGGCCTCAAGACTTTCCCTGATCAAAGAACAGGGTGCGAGCCCCGGGAGGGGCACTTCAATCGAAGAAATACAATGTGCAGTGGGCGGGGGGATCAACAATAATTATTCTTCAGAAATGAGAGTTCAACAACAACAGTCACATTCAGTTTAAGACAGTTTGTTCTTATTTGATGGCGTTCCACGCAACACGTATATCCCAAACCCTTGATACCCGCTTTCTTTGTCTTCGACCGTACCCCCTCGGGGGTATATCTTCCCTACCTGCTGCGCACATTTAGCACATACCCTAAAACAGGGGGATGACAGACGAGGGAAGAGAAGGATGGACCACGCGAGAGGGCCTCTCGGAGCAAATCGCGAGAAAACATCGAGTGGGAGCCCTGGTCGTCGCGGCTGCGTCCCCATTCATCTGACTGAGTTGCGAGGGTGTCCACAGCGAGAGCGCTATTCCTGAGTTCGGGAACCCCTCTGGCCAGGGCTTCCCAGATCGCGAGGAAATATCGAGCGCGAGCCTTGTCGTCGCGGCTGGGCATCTGCGAACTTGATTGGATTGCGAAGAAGCTTCATGCGAGAGCGCCGTTCCTGGGACCTCTGCGGGCTGGGGCCTCAGTGGGCGCGCTTGGGGCCTCTGTGGGCTGCGCTCGGGAGTCTCAGTGGGCAGCGCGCGGGGGCCTCTGTGGGCGCGCTTGGGGCCTCTGCGGGCTGGGGCCTATGTGGGCACCCGTGGGGCCTCTGTTGGCTGTGTCGGGGGGCCTCAGTGGGCAGCGCGCCGGGGCCTCTGTGAGCGTGCTTGGGGCTTCTGCGGGCTGGAGCCTCTCTGGGCTCGTTTGGGGTCTCTGTGGGCTGCGTCGGGGGCCTCAGTGGGCAGCGAGCGGGGGCCTCTGTGGGCTGGGGCCTCTGTGGGCTGCGTCGGGGGCCTCAGTGGGCAGCGCGGGGGAGCCTCTGTGGGCGCGCGTGGGGCCTCGGGCTGGGGCCTCTGTGGGCGCGTTTGGGGCCTCAGTTGGCTGCGTCGGGGGCCTCAGTGGGCAGCGCGCGGGGGAGCCTCTGTGGGCGCGCTCGGGGCCTCTACGGGCTGGGGCCTCTGTGGGCTCGTTTGGGGCCTCTGTGGGCTGTGTTGGGGGGCCTCACTCAGTGGGCAGCGCGCTGGGACCTCTGTGGGCGCGCTTGGGGCCTCTGTGGGCTGGGGTCTCTGTGGGCTGCGCTGGCAGCCTCAGTGGACAGCGCGCCGGGGCCTCTGTGGGCGCGCTTGGGGCCTCTGCGGGCTGAGACCTCTGTGGGCGCGCTTGGGGCCTGTGTGGGCTGTATTGGAGGCCTTGGTGGGCAGCGCGCGGGGGCCTCCGTGGGCGCACTCGGGGCCTCTGTGGGCTGGGGTCTCTGTGGGCGCGCGCGGGGCCCCTGTGGCCGTTGTCGGGGGGGCCTCAGTAGGCAGCGCGCTGGAGACGGGCTGGGGCCTCAGTGTGCAGCGCGCGGGAGCCTCTGTGAGCGCGCTTGGGGCTTCTGTGGGCGCGTTTGGGCCTCTGTGGGCTGGGGCCTCCGTGGGCGCGCTGGGACCTCTGTGGGCTGTGCCGGGGGGCTTCAGTGGGCAGCGTGCGGGGGCCTCGGCGCGCTTGGCGCCTCTGTGGGCAGGAGCCTCTGGGGGCGCGTGTGGGGCCTCTGTAGGAAGTCTGGCCTCAGTGGGCAGCGCGCTGGGGCCTCCGAGGGCACGCTCGGGGCCTCTGTGCGCTGTGTCGGGCGCCTCAGTGGGCAGCGCGCGGGAGCCTCTGTGGGCGCGCTTGGGGCCTGTGTGGGCTTTGTCGGGGGCCTCTGTGGAACGGGGAGCCTCCGTGGGCGGCGCGTTGGGGCCTCCGTGGGCACGCTTGGGGCGAGGGTTTGGACCTCTGTGGGCTGTGCCGGAGGGCCTCATTGGACAGCGAGCTGGGGCTTCTGTGGGCGCGCTTGGGGCCTCTGTGGGCTGCGCTCGGGAGTCTCAGTGGGCAGCGCGCTGGGCCCTCTGTGGGCGCGCCTGGGGCCTCTGTGGGCAGCGCGGGGGAGCCTCTGTGGGCGCGCTTGGCGCCTATGTGGACTGTGCCGGAGGGCCTGCGGGCAGCATGCTACGGTCTTTGTGGGCTTACTTTGGGCCTTAGTGGGTTGTGCGTTGGGGGCCTCAGTGGGCAGCGCGCCAGGAACTCGGTGGGCAAGGGCCTTTGCGAATACATCTTGAGGAAGTATCGAACGGGAGCCCTTGTCGTTGCATGTGGGCCTCCACCAATTTGATTGAATCATGAGGAAGTCTCGAGCGAGAGCGCCGTTCATGAGTTCGGGAGGGCCAGGGGTCTCGGAGTAAATCGTTAGGAAGTGTCGAGCAGAAGCCTTTGTCGTCGTGGCTGGGCCCTCGCCAACTTGATTGAATTGCGAGGAAGTCTCGAGCGAGAGCGCTGTTCCTGAGTTCGGGGGCCTCTGTGGCCAGGGTGTCTCGAAGTAAATTGTGAGGAAGTATCGAGCCGGAGCCGTTGTTGTTTTAGCTGGGCCTCCAAGGGCACACATTCAGGGTCAAGCCAACGCTCGAGCGGGAGCCTCGTTTTCAGAGAAAATGTAGCCGGCGTCGAGGCGAGAGTGCGCGGATCGTATCTGGTGACCAACAGTAATAAGTCCGTAGATATGAGTATGCAAAAACAGCAACAATAGCAACAACAACAACAACAACAACCATCAGTTTAAAATTGTTCGCCCTTATCTTTTCGAGCGTCCAATAACGCGTGTTTCCCAAACCCTCGATACCCGCCCTCTTCGTTTTCGATCGAACCCCTTTTGGGGGGTATACCTTTCTTCCCTGAAGGCCGGGCCCCGGCAAGCGGGGCGGTCGCGGACGGTCGGCCTGGCCAGAGGCAGCGCTGATCGGCGGGGCGGCCGCGGACCGTCGACCCGACCCAAAGAGGGACGGACAGGGGACCGACCACGACGACGACGACGACGCCGACGATGACGGCGACGACGACGACGGCGACGACGGCGACGAGCGAAAGCGAGAGCGAGAGAGAACGACAGCAGGGCCACAAGGACACGAAGTAGGCCACGATGGGTGACAGCGGGGACACGAAGGGAATGCGTATGGGACCACGAAGAGCGCGAACGATCGGGGGCCACGAAGGGCAGATCATGCGGGGCCACAGAAGGCAACGATGGGGCCACTGAGGGTAGCAACTAGGCCGCGCAGGACAGTGAGGGGGCCACAAACGGCGACAGCGGGGCCACGAAGGGCATGCACATGGGGCCGCAACGGGCGCGAACAAGCGGGACCACGAAGGGCATGCGTATGTTGGGCCGCGGAGGGCAAGGACGAGGCCACTGGGGGCAGCAACGGGGCCACGAATGGCAGCGAGGGGGCCACGAAGGGCGACAGCGGGGCCACGAAAGGCATGCACATGTGGCCACTACGGGCGCGAACGAACGGGGGCCACGAACGGCATACATATATGGGGCCACGAAGGGCAGCGAGTGGGCCATGAAATGCTGCAACGGGGACACGAAGGGCTGCGACGGGGCCTCGAAGGGCAGCGAGGAGGCTACGATGGGGCTGCAACGGGGCCACGAAACAAAGCGAGGGGGCCACGAAAGGCTGCGACGGGGCCACGAAACAGAGCGAGGGGGCCACGAAGGGCTGCGACGGGGCCACGAACCAAAGCGAGGAGGCCACGAGGGGCTGCAAAGGGCCACGAAGGGCAGCAAAGGGGCCACGAAAGGCTGCAACGGGGCCACGAAACAAAGCGAGGGGGCCACGAAAGGCTGCAACGGGGCCACGAAGGGCAGCGAGATCCCGATTCCTAGGTAATCTGTGAGGGAGTCCCAAGCGTGAGCGCGACTCCTGGGTGCCTTGGTGTCGGGAGCGCGGCGCTTGAGTAAGTTGCAGGAAATTCCAACGCAAGGGCGCTATTCTTCAGTAGATATACAAGCAAGTCTCCAGCGAGAGCGCGATTCCAGAGCGCCGGGAGAGCGATCCTTGAATAAATTCTAAGGAAATCCCACGCGAGAGCGCGATTCTTGCATCAAATGGGACCGTCGACCCGACCCCAAGAGGGACGACGACGACGACGAGCGAAAGCGAGAGCGAGAGAGAACGACAGCAGGGCCACAAGGACACGAAGTTGGCCACGAAGGGCGACAGCGGGGACACGAAGGGAATGCGTGTGGGGCCACGAAGAGCGCGAACGAGCGGGGGCCATGAATGGCAGATAATGCGGAGCCACAGAAG